AAATATAATTTATATATTGAAATATTTATTCATTACAAATTTTAATAATAATATAATTTATATATTCAAAATTATATATTTATTATAAAATTTATTTATATACATTGAACAGGTTAAAATACTAATTTGATTCGAATTTGAATAAATTTTGTAAAATTTAATTATTTTTTTTGGAAATAATCTAAACTAAATAAATATTAATTGGCGAAGTAATCGAACCTGTCTACAAGTTACCTGGGCCAAATACGAATTTGGACTGGGCCTAGTTTGAAAGAAGCGAAAGGTGAAACCCAACGACCCAACCCAACAATAGATAAGGGTAACGAGATCCATGAGAAGTAGGGTTTTGAGAGAAGCCTCTATTTATAAAACTCACACACGCACATACTATTTCCTGTTTCCGCATTTCGTGATTCTAGGGTTTCACTCCCATCAGCAACAACGATGGTTCAGAGGCTCACTTACCGGAAGCGCCATAGCTATGCTACCAAATCGAACCAACACCGGGTTGTTAAGACCCCTGGTATGCTTCCTCTTTCAATTTTTTTATGTTTTGTTTTTCCCCAACTGTGTGTTTTTCTTCTGATCTCAATTATGCTCCTTGGGTTGTTGTCAAAATCCGATTTTGTTAATGCTGTTTGGTGGCTTAACTGACCTTTGCAAATGGGTATGTCGCAGGTGGGAAGTTGGTGTACCAGACCACTAAGAAGAGGGCAAGCGGACCCAAATGCCCTGTCACTGGAAAGAGGATCCAAGGGGTATGTATATTTTGTATTTATTTTGTCTTCTTTTTCATATGCCCTTTGAATACTAAGGATCAGTGATTTGTTGTGAAGAATCTAATTTGTATACATGAAAATTGGTATACTTAGAGATCTGGGTATTTATAAAATTACTGAATGTATCTGATAGGCATGCTTTGTACTCTGTGGGGAAATTTTTCTATCTTGTGTCTTGTGAAATTGTTGAGATGGAAAATTTCTGGATGATTCTTATTTTTTTTCCCTTCAATTTTGGTTCAGTGCCTAATTGATTCTGTTTTTTGTGACGGGTATGTATCTATTGAGGACAGGTTGTGGGAATGAGATTGAGCTGCTTTTCTTAATGATTTTTCTCAGTTATCTGATTGGAATGGGTGTTGGTATGGTCATTTTAAGGAGGTGTTTTGGACGCTATAATTTTCAAGTCCTTTGGGTGTTTGTTGGTAGCCTTAATTCTTAGATAACTGAATTCAGATTTTGAATGTTAATGAGTTATGTGTAATGCGGTGAACGCTTTTTTGAAATGATTTATATCAGTTATCTGATTGGAACGAGTTTTGATTATGGCTTATTGTTGTAAGCTCCTGGCCAAGCTTATGAGTAAGCTTTCACTTAATATGAACATATTGAATAATGATGTTTGGGAGAACTTATTTACATTTTGTTTAGGCTTGGGACAGTTAATAATAATAGCTTATGATGTATACAAATTTTGTTTCAACTTATTCCAATCTTTTGAATAACATGAAAACCGCTTACAATGTATATGAAAGTAGTTTTGCTATAATTCCTCTTCCATTATAGTAACTATTTATTCAAATGTGTACATGGTAAACACTTACGTGTAAACAACTTAATTAAGCACTTATTGAAGAAGTGCTTATGTGTGTAATTTGTACCTTTAATCAATGAGGGAAGAAAGTTATACTGTTTTTGTAAGCTATTTTGGAGAGCTAAGTAAAACAAACTAAAAGAAGCTTTTGAACTTTTATAGTGCTTGCGTTGCAAGATAAACTCAATGAAACTGTAAATAAGTTTTTCCAAATGCATGTTTTAATAAGTGTTTAATGAAGCTGTTTACCTAAATTTGCCTTTGGTATTTAATTAAGCTGTTTATCGGAACATGTCCTAAGTAGTGTGAGCAGTATTCTTCTCCTATCATGATTTTCTAATCCTTACATAATCTGCAGATCCCACACTTGAGACCTGCTGAGTACAAGAGGTCCAGATTGCCTAGGAACCGCAGGACAGTAAACCGGGCCTATGGAGGTGTATTATCTGGTGGAGCTGTTAGAGAAAGGTTTGTTGCACAAAAGATCATTTGATAATTATACTTGAAAATTTAATTAGTTGAAGTAAATTTATTGGTTATTTAATCTTGGTATAGGATTATCCGTGCTTTCCTTGTTGAAGAGCAAAAAATTGTGAAGAAGGTATTGAAGATCCAGAAGGCAAAGGACAAGCAAGCATCGAAGAGTTAAGCTGATTGATTCATGGATGATAAAAAAAATCTTATCTTTAAAATTTGTGCTCAAGAATTTTGACTTTCAATGGTGTTAAGTATGAATGTGGAACTTAATTTGAAATTTATTTTATGATTCTGTGCTTTTTGGTCTTTTATATTTAGAATATGAAATGATTTTTAATGTTCTTGTCGATAATCGAAATAAAATTTGATTAAATGTAAAGTGGATATAATATATAAATAGGATATCAAGAAGTGAAAATTTGGTATTTTTTGTTTATTTTGATGAAAATGGATGTTTAAGATGAAGAATATTGAATAGAAAATTTAGATGGATTTCTTCAAATTAACTTGTGAATATTTTTAGAGAACGAAATTTGATGATTTTAAATGTGAAAATAAAATTGACAAGACTTAATTTTGCATGCCTATGTTTAATATTAAAAGTTGGGAATAAAGTTTAAAATATGTGGTCTTGATATTTATTTAAAATATAATCTGGTCTTGATTTTTATCCAGCTATTACCGCTGGGTGTTGTATCAAAAGGTTTGGTTAAATTATATTTTGAATAATAAGCCTATAATTTCAATTTATTAAATTTGTAAATGGATAGCAGTCTGCAAGATATGGACTTCTTCTAAGTACGTTATGCATCGGATTTCAAAACAGATTAAGAAATGATGTGATGATTTTCAAAGGAAAGTGCTTCTACGTTAATTTTATTTTAAAATTCATGATGCATCTTAAATTAAATAAAAGGTAATTATGTCTATTTGTTTGATTTGTCTTTACCAAGGTTGATGTATAACTGCTACACTTTTTAAAGGATATCTACGTGCAACTACGTCTACAAGTAATATATACTGCTGAGGGTGACAGACCGTATAATTTAACAAACATATTCTAAACGTTGTTTGAGAATATGTTTTCATTATTTAAATACTCGTGAAAGCAAAGTTATCTTAAATTAGTAAATAAAAAAAAATGAAGCAAAGGTGTGACAATTTTGTATGGTTTGGTAGGCGATTTGCCAAGCTAAATTTAAGAGTTATGGAGTTCTTCTGTAATAATTTTTTAACATAACTGTGACAACGATATTTGACTTTATGATTTCATGCAAATAGGAGCGGAACCGAGATTTTCATTTAAGGGCCCCCTATGAAAAATTATACCGTTTTTTTTATAAAAAAAATCCACATATTCGACATGCACAAGAATTTTGACAGATGATTAATATGTTTTATAAGAAAAACATTAATTAAATTAAGCATAGGGCAGAACTTAACAAACAAGTATAGTTAACATATAATTGTTTAATGATTAATAACAAAAACAAGAGGGTAAAAAGAATTATGAATACTAATAATACTTTTTTTCTAATATTTTTTCTATCACAGATGAAAATTTATTAATAATATTTTGGTGAGATTGTTTTTTATTTAACAACTTATTCTTTAAATTTAATTTAAAAATGAGACTTATTAAAATTGGTGATCTTTAATAAATTTCAATCAATTGTAATGATAGAAAGAGTATTATTAATATTCTTAAAAAAAATAAAAACATTCATTTCAAAAAATAACAAAAATATCATACTTGGATAAAAAAATGATCAAATAAAAAATATATCAATGATAAATAAAAGTATTAATTGATATTTTTTAATTAAATTTTATTTTTGTTAAATTTAGGATTCTTGAACTGTCTCAGCTCATTCACCCTAAAAATATAAAATTGACTGAGGTGTACACCAAAGTCAACTCAATAAAATTTTAATTATAATTATTGCTATAGATATTATTATCTTAAAAGATTTTTTTGTTGGACATTTTTGTTTTTTGAGAAAAAATTTAAAGATATCAAGTTGTCACAACTTGTATTTTAAATTCAAAAATTAAAAAGATGTCACATCTAATTAACCATTCCTCCAATAAATTTTTTGATACAATAACTTCAAATATTTATATTGAATTTCGTAACACTATATTTTGATATTTAATCATATTTTGAATTTAAATAAGGACTTTAAGATGATAAATTATCACAACTTGCACCTTTAAGCTCTAGGATCAAGAGGATATTACATTTAAATAATCTTTTTTTAAAATTACAGATATTACTAATATAAAAAGAAAATAAAAAGAAGTGAGTTCAATATACTCACTATTCTTCGCTCAAGAAGTGGTAACTTGCTGGTCTCTTCCTCTGGGTTCCCTCTAGTCTTGAGTGTAGAAGAAGAAGAAGTTCAAAGTGGAGATGTGTGAAGCCCTTTGAAAAGGCCAAGGTGCTGCTATTTATAGACTTTCAGGAGTGACCAGAACAACCCGTTCTGAATTCGGAACGGATCGTTCTGGGGTTGCATCTTTACTCACAATGACCATATTTGGAACGTTCCATTCCAGTTTGGGAACGACCCATTCTGGACTAGAATTTATAGGTCTTTTTAGTAGCTTGGAACGGTCCGTTCCAGTTTGAGAACGACCCGTTCTGGGCTAGAATTTATAGGTCTTTTTAGTAGCTTAGAATGACTCGTTCCAATTTGGAAACGACTCGTTCTGAACTACTAAAATCACATGAAAATTACTAAATTACCTTCCATAAAAGTATGAAAATTGAGGTGTTACATTTGGCTTCCTTATTTTTGTCTTTTTTATTCTTTCTTGTATATATTGTTGAAATTTAAATCTGGTTTGTAAAATATTTTTATTATTGAATCATTGACTTGAAAACTTTGAGAGAGAAGATAGTGGGAAGATTAATGGAACAAAATTGGTGTTTACAGAGTCAAAATCACATTTGTAGATAGTGTTGTAATAAAATTATAAAACTTGGGATGATCATTGTTGTACATTGTTATTCATCTTTACCATTAATTATAATAAGATATAACATGTATTTCTCAACAATAATTAAACTAACAAAATTAACAAATTTTTAAGGGATAATAACTCATAAAACTTATAAAGTGATATGTGTGAGAGACAATCTCGAAATCTTCTATATGTTAAATTGATAATAACGAAAATTTGATTCTCAAAATCATCTTTGATCAAATCATAAGATAACGTCTAATCAATTCTTGAAATACAAGTTAAAATATAAGATATTGAGATAAGACTTGGTCTAAAAAAAAACTAAATGAACAAGATAAAATCCAAGAAAATATTTGTTTAATAAAATAAAATAAAATAAAAATAATTTTCTAAACTATAATTAAATAAAATATTAATATTTTTAAAATATCATTGAAAATATAGCAGAAGCATATGGCCACTGGCCCGCACTGCCTCTGCCCAACTCAGCCTAAATCAAAATAAAAACGCTAAATACTACGGAAATGGAAGAAGATACGAAGGAGAGGTGATATTCTAGAGTTATATTATAAGCACAGCAACATTTGTACGTGTTTTGCGGTTAAATTGAAGAATTTTATGGACCACTTTATTGTTAGTGACATTTGGTATGTAAAAGGTTTGGTGTGAAATAAGAAGAGTGAGTCAAAATAGGGGGATCGTAGAGTTGTAGGCCAAAGCCAGAAAATTCACTACTCACTATAGAGGCTAATAAATTTCAGCCATGAAAACATTACCTCGCATTACTTTTGACTATTGATTGTCTCACGTCAACTTCCTACACCAAATAGCTAAATCAAAGGCCCAAAGCCCGCTAAATCCCCACACGCAAAAATAAAATTTTGTCAAGAATGGGATTCGAACCCATGCCCTTTCGGACCAGTACCTGAAACTGGCGCCTTAGACCAACTCGGCCATCTTGACTTCTTGTTTACTGGGTTATAAAAATATAAACATAAAACTTGATATACAAATAAACATTATTTCTTTTAGTTCTAACTAATCAAAGGAACTTAATACCCTATGTATTTTATCTGTTTCGTATACGATCAAAAATTAACTTGATAAAAAAGCTTAGTGCAAATTTAAAATATTTATTTATAATAGATCTGAACAAACTTAATTTCTATTAATTAATTTATGCTATAACCCATACTCCAAAGTTTTTCTTCAAATATTTACTAAATTTCTCGCTAAAGGAACCTAGTATAAATAAGAATGTGTTTTTATCTGTTTTGCATGCTGTGAGTAATGAGGTTGAGAAAATTTATAATTGGTAATTATTTATTAGAGAGATTAAATTCATATGAATAAAAAATTTTTGATAAAAAAAACTAAACTGAACTGAACTGATGATGAACTGAACTGAATTGTACTACACAAAACTGAATTGTTTGTAAAAAAACTGAACTGAACTGTTAGAAAGTTGAAATGTACTGAACTATAAAAACTGAATTGAATCATAAAAATTAAACTATTTTTATAAAAGGATAAAAATTAAATGTGTCTAACATGTTCTGTCTTAATGGATTAACTCGATAGTCTAATGATCAAAACTTTGGAAAAAAAAGTGATCCGAAAAAAATTGTATCAATTTTGTCGGACCTAACGAATCAATTGAGCTATGTTAGACAACTTATTATTAGGCTTAAAATTCACCGAGTTTGTTTGACTCAATTATATATATTTTTCCTTTAAAATTTTTAAATAAAATGGAAAATAAAGTAAAGTTGACAAATGTGTCCTATCTTGACAGACCAACGAGTCAAAATTATTCAATTCAAAATATCATAACAATTTAGTATAATTTGAAATGCAGTTCAGTTCAAGTTTTTTTAGTGTAGTTCAGTTTAGTTTAATGACACAAAAGAACAGTTCAGTTCAATTCGTATAAATTAATATTCAGTTTAGTTCAGTTTATGAGAATTACTTTTAAGTTCAGTATAATTTTTATAAGTTCAGTTCATTTTGCTCAACTTGGTGTGAGTAATTCCTTAATTAATATGCTGGCAGTGGTTAGCAATATGCAATACCGTATGTTTAAAGTTGCTGTTAACATTTGTGATTAATATATAAGGAAAAAAGTAAACTGCAAGGTCCTTAAAATTGCATGCAACTTGCAGTTATGATCCGGGAAGTGTGTTGAGGATCTCAATTATAACAACTTTAGAGTGAGTGGTGAACATAGGGAAAGCAGGGTCAACGAAGACAATGATTTGTTATCCGTTTGCACCCTAAGACACACCAACCGAAAGTTTGAAGCTGCTAGAGTAGGTGAGAAAACCATACT